CCTATTTGACGACAGGATAATCAAGTGGACATCATAAACGAAGGAAATGTTCATCTTTACTTTCTGACGATTGCATGTGAGTTAATTAAGGACCCTGCCTGCACCACGCTGCCCTTAATCCAGCTATGCATCAATACCTAATCCATTGCAACTTTGAATTTGATTCCAATTTGATAACGGGATAAACAACTGGGCATCCTATATGAAAGAAATGTCCATATCTTTGTTGCTGAACTTTCTAACGACAGCATTCTAAATTGTATACCCTGTACCATGCTGCCTTTGATGAAGTTATGCAACAATATCTAATCCATTTCAACTTTGTATTTATTCCTGTTTAATAACTCAATCAAGTAAATATCCCATTTAAAGGAAGTGTTTATCTTTACTCTTGTGTATTGATACGGAACTTTCACCATTCACCATTGACCATTGTGAACCACCGAAGACCCAGTTTCATGTTCCCGTTAACCCTTTGCTGTCGAATTTCATACTTAATCCTTTGCATCTTCAAATTTAGAATATGGGTATCGTTCTACTCGGAACTCGAATTTTTCGTCGATAGAGCAAACAAGTCTAGTACGTTCAAACAAGATTTAATAATTGTTATCTGAACTTAAGATATATTTATCTAGTGATGTTTGGGTATATTATTGGGTTTGTTTTATGATTACTGCATGCTGTATGAATGCATACAGTAGGGTAGGGCGGGGCTAGTTGAGCAAATTTTTACTTAAACGGATGTAGCTCCTCAATGAAAAGTCTCAATAAATTGCTATACGGCTTATTGGATTTGTTGTTTATCGCATAACAAAAGTGTTAATACTTGTTTTTGGTAATAAGTAAAATTTAAAAGCTACAGCTGTTTGAATGCAAAAAGTCAAGTATGCTCAATGTACCCCATAGGTGGGGCAAGTTGAGCACTAAGAAAGTATAATGAAATTATAGGTTCAATGTCAATTAGTGATGAAATAAAATAAGTTTTTAATAACCAGTTCTATATTTATAGTCTTTATTGACAGAGGAAACAAAACTTATAGTAATTGCTTTGAATAATTAACGATTAATTATCTTAGGAATTATTTACCATTATATTCAATATTTTGTTTAAAATCATTATTTCTTTATATCATTACTCATAGACTTAGCTTAAATCTTAAAAATAATAATTAATTTCTGGAAGTTAATGGTAATTGTCTTAGTGACAGAACAAGTTTAGCAACTATGCTCAACTAGCCCCAACTCGGAATTTCAAAATAAAAGTGAGTTTATAAAAAAACCGTGATAATTATACCCAGAATCTCTGTGCATATTAAAAGTACTATAATTATATGGAAGAATAAAATTTACCTGCTTAAAAATAAATAACATTTGACTAAACTAGACGAAAATTCGTGATGAATGACTTTTTTACTTTTTGGTCTCAAAATAAACAAAACGGCCGTGAGCCTCACTCATTTGTCCAGCGGCCACTAGCGATTGCGGGTATTTATTTCTACCAAACCTCTATCTTTCCGCCATATAATGCCTAAACGGACGGTGAATAGTTTTAGAGATATTTCGATTACTCAACTTGCCCCTATGCTCAACTAGCCCCGCCCTACCCTACCCGTTTCGTATAGTAATTTGCCATAGTGGTTGAGGGCAAGCATACGACTGGAATGGTAAAAAGGCTTTGGTGGCAGAGAAACGACAAACGACCGCAAAGGGTTAATATAGTTATGCAAGGATCTCTAATCAATTTTAACTTTGTAGGATGTAGGAGACATCCTATATGAAGGAATAGTTGATCCTTACTCTTACTTCTGACGCCTGCATAGTGAGTTAATTAAGGACCCTGCCTGCACCACGCTGCCCTTAATCCAGTTATGCAACAATATCTAATCAAATTCAACTTTGTACCTATCCCTGTTCGGTAACACGTCGTAAGTAAAGTACGACACGATCAAGTGGAGAGCGGCGCACTCGACGGACCAGCGCGGCCTTCGGCGGTGGAAAGAAAACGACAATCGTTCCGCGCGTCCAGTCGCCACTTTCATTCTCGAGACCTCCGAAGAACATGCAAGTTGTTAATGCCATAACGACATCGCGTATTATACGTTCACAAGTAACTGTCTAAGACACGACCGCTCTAGATCACGTCGGGATACGGGGGCTATGGATAGGTAAAGTTTCAAATCTCTGACGTCCATGCATCCATGTGTGTTCCGGTAACAATTATTCATCCGATCGCAAGTGATAACGAGTTCGGTATATGAAATATAAAAAGCATGAGAGGAACTTTGATTTCATTTCGAATTTTTTTGTGAAATAGTGCTTCTGGATAAAAACAGAAATGGAGGTAGTTACGTGGATTATTGTGTTGACCGGCTTTGGTGAGTCTAAATGATAAATTTTTCATAATTATTTTTATTGTGAAAATATTATCATGAGCGTGAGGAAGATCATTATATTGCCGCCATGTACGCATGGTATATGGAACAGAAACTTTCATGTTTAGCGCATTCTTACCCTCCTGAACCATGGATTCAATTTGTTTTCCAATTTGAACAAAATCTTTGGAAAGTTTAAATTAAATATTTTTTCTTCGTATTTAATAGAAACATCCACAATTATTGAACTGGTGCCAGTAACAAATTTTTACCTAAAATTTGTTATTTCCCTAAAGTACTAACACCAACTTAACTAAATATAAATGAATTCTTTGCTAAGTAATAAAAATTAAACTAATTAACAATTCGAAATATATGACGATGAGTTTTAAAAACTACTCAATATAAATTAATTTTAAATATTATTAAAATAATTATAACAAATATATTTCTATAATTTGACTTCAATATATCATATCAGAAATTATTTATTAATCAGAAAATGAACCATTGATGCTAATATATACATTTACATCCCACTGAGTCTTATTCTGTTATATATGCTTGTAAAATATTTTTTTTAGAGAAAATAGCTATACTTTTTTAAAATGTGCAATGTTCTTGGTATTTAAAAAAACGCGAAAATATATCTATTTTATAATTCATAGAAGAGCGAACTAATGTAGTGAATTTAGGTTTATGTACTTACATGAACAAGAAGGTTTGACGTGATAAACCTTCCACTGTCAGTATCGTAAACAATAAGAATTTAATTATAAATATATTTTTAATCTATAATTTCAATAACTATGCATTGATTACATGTAATTGTCATAAACTATATATTTTTTATGTTTCCTTTCCGAACATTATATCGCAAAAAATAACTAGTGGGGTGGGTGGCATCGTGCCTTAAGCCAAATTGCTGGAACTTCCCGTACCGTGACAAAATGTTCGAGGAATATTGAATGTTTTCAAATAGATTATTATAAATATTGTAACATTGTCTAATATTTATAAAAATTATATAAACTGAATTGCAAAGTTGAAATTATTTGTAAAGAATATTAGAACTATAGTCAGAATTAAAAATAAAATCTGAATTATTTTCGATATACAAAAAATTACAAAAAAAAAAAAAGTTTAAACAAAATTTTTTTTCCCAAAATCTATTATTTTGTTAAGACAAGCAAAAAGTTTTTTGAATCAATCAAATCGGACGCTTAGTTCTCTCAAAAATTGCTATTTTTTGTACATTTAGCTCCGTATCTTCGAAACGGCTGGGCCTGCCTTCGCAAAAAACTAATAACCACTTCTCCCGATCATTACTAATTGAATGTTTTTAGATCACTCAAATCGGATGCTACGTTCTCTCCGATTCTTCCGATTTTCGGCCCATTACAATAACTTACCCTACGGGAAGTTAATAATACAATAAGTGTTTTTATAGATGTTTTGGAACTAGATAAGTTCCATCTATAGGCTTTATACTGTCAAAAACAAAGTTCTTGTATAGAATGATATTAATAGGTAATTGATGACAAAGTTAAAAAAATTACAAAAATTAGATTATGTACTTAATTTTTTAAAAAACATTAAAAATTGGGGAATAAAAAATTATCTACCTGTAATTTAAAAAAACTATTGGTCCAAAGCAATGGTCAAAAGTACTTGCAAAAAATTGATAATTCAAATTTGGATAAAATTCACTTAATTATGTATTACTTAAAATAGTGAAAAAAAATCTTCAAAATACGAAGTAAATTTTTTTTCGGTATTTTGTACGTTGACATATGATAAAAATTTATAAAAAATATGATATAAAACATAGCTTTTGTTAACGCATTGTTGCGTTAATGTGTGTCAATCAATATAAATTTTATATAACATATAGCAATAATGAAAATAATAATAAATCATCAAAGCAAGAATTCCATTCTCCATTCCACCATAAAAGGATGTAAATCTATGATTCCATTATTCATTATATCGAGTTACATACATTTTCGAATTTTACTTCTAAATCACGAATTGACATCATAACATCCCAAAGCAAAATGACCAATATTGTATTACACGATTCAATTTTTTCTTTCCTATCGCATCGCAATGTACATTCAAAATCGCGAAAATTGCGAAAATTGACATCTCTGCATAATGCAAGACTTCAGATCGACCTCATGGGGTTCTGGTATCGGAAACTCTTTCATCACACCAAAAGGCTAATATAGACCACAAGGTTATTTAGTGCAAGAAAGGGCATTCAATAAAATACGAAGTGAAATGTTAACGCAAATTACTTCACAGGAGTTTTTGTGTACAGAAGTTTCACAAGAAAGGGTTCCTCCTTTGCTAATAGTTATATAAAGCAGGAAAGAACAAAGATAATTAATTTTGTAACATGAAGAATTAACGTGGATTTTAATTGTTCTTAAATCTTAATATTTTAGTCGAAATAAACCATTTACCTTTCTTTACCTTCCTTTCCCTTTATTCACACAGTAGTCGAAAATTGTGTGAATATTATGAAAATGTTTCATATAAAATAAGAAGCAACAACACAGTTTAAATAATAATAATCTATCACTTCTAATACATTATTTAGACTTATCAATTGCTTAGACTCACCCAAGATTTAACATTTTATTATTTGTCCATCGGCTCCAGTTAGGATCCAGCGGTGGCGTAATCAGTCCTGAGTTTTCTGGTTCGGTTACCGCCACCGCCAACAAAAGCCCGACATCAGGCAGCTTTGATGTCAATTTTACATCTTGAGGTTATAAATATCAAGTGAAAATCGCCTCTCGTGGGTATAGCTGCTATAAAATCATAGAATGTCAAAATATATGTATAGTATAGTTAATTAGTCACTATAAGATTGTAAAACTACGGGGTTGCTATCTTGCTATTCATTCAAAAAGCCTTATAAACGTTTTGACTAGTTTATATAATACAAGTTTGGTTTATTATTTAATCATTTACCAATTATAAAAAATATAACTGGAGCTTTTTTGTTATACTTAACAATCAGTCATACTTAGACAATCAGTAATTGTTTTGAGTCAAAATAATTAAAAACAATTACTGAATGCCCTAGTAATAGTTTTGAGTCAAAACAATTACTGCATGTCCTAGTAATAGTTTGTAGTCGAAACAATTAGTGATTGCCCTAGTACGACAGATTGTAAATAAAGTATAACAATAAAAGCTACAGATATATTTTTATAATTAGTAAATGATTAAATAATAAACCAAGATTATGGTACGTTATATGAACTAACAAAACAGAACAAAAAAATATTTT